AAATATACGCTGAGTGGCCAGATTACTATGACCTCTGAATGCATAATAATCTGGCCACTCAGTGCATACATGTTAGAGGCCCGGTGCATGAATTTGTACATGGGTGGGGTCTGGCCAGCCTGGCCAGGGGGAGGAGACATGGGGGGTTGGCCGGCCTGCCTGCTGGTCGAACTCCTGGTAAAGGGGACAATTTACATTATTAGCCTTTTATTCTATAGGATATACACTGAATGGCCAGATTACTCTGTGTCCAGAGATCATCATAATCTGGCCACTCAGCGTATAACCCCATTTGATGGTCATATTATAGAAAATTATGAGAGTTGGACAAGACCTTTATGCTTCTTTCCAAGGCTGGATTTTCTCCTACCACCTCCCCCATTCTCACCATCTCTCAGAGACCTTCTGCTTAAACCTTTTCGTGACCGTCATCACCTGCTGATTCAAGACCATGCTTCAGAGCCCAGCTCCCAGGAGCCTCCCTCTCCCACATCTCCACTCTCACCCCTGCCCAACGAAGCAACGTCAAGCCGCTTCCCGGCGCTCTGCACACTCAGGCTGTGCTCTGTGCTGAAGATGCCCTCCCCTCCTCACCCAGCTTTTCTCTCTGACACTTTCTCCAACACTGTTCCAGCACTGCCGTGGATGTTTGTCACCTCTTGTGTGCCCCTTAATTTCTAATTGGTAAATACATTTTGTGTTTTGATGCAAGGGGCCTGCAGGGGCCTGCCTCCCACTACCATTCAGAAGGAAGTTGAGGGAGTCAAATACTTCCTATCAAATCTCTTGTTCCAGCGAGGAGGCAGGCAGGCGACCTTAGAGCAGCCAACAGAGACTTCTCTCCAGGTGTTTTGAATCCAAAGAGATGAGGAATAGTTACAGGTGATTTGTCTGGTGGTGCAGGGGCAGGTAGAAAGATGTCCTGAACAGGCTGTTGCAGCAATAACATGGTGGCTGTCTCTTTTTTCCTACCCTTGATACCTATGCATGCATTTCTAGGCCAATTAATATTTACAAAATGAACTAAGAAGCACAGGAGTAAAGGTCAAAGACTAAATTTAAAGCAAATTACATACACGATTGGAACATTTAATGATCAGAACCAGAGGTAAAGAAAGGGAAATAAAGATAAATGAGCCTATCTCTAAAAGAAATGAGGAAGAATGGTAAATTTTATAGTAAATTTTATATAAAATGGTAAATTTTATAGTACATATACACTCTTCTCCACTGGGGATGACAACAGTTCTATTATTTTAGGCTGAGTTAGCTTCCTGGTCCCTGTTTAGATGGGCTTCAGGCCAGTGGCCCTGCCCCCCTTGCCCTCAGAGACTGTTAAACTTGTTAAATAGCACACATCCAGGAGAATTGAAAGATGAGTTGGAGACTTCAAGCACGAAGCCACTAAGAAAAGGCTGGGAGAAAATGCTGAACTTTTTGAGCTTCGTGAATTTCAGCATAAAGAGGGTAAGATGACCCTGAGGCAGCAAGAAGTAGGCCATGCCCTGCTGATACATTAATGGGTTTACAAATCTTAAAGCTGGTACTCTCACTACTGCATATTTCTCATCATGTGCAGCTCTGTGCATGTGCAGAATCAATAATTTAGTGTTTTTCTTCCACAGGCAGAAACATGAATTCATTCATTCAATAAATATAAGGTGTCCCTAAAACGTACACACACTTTAACAGCTGATAACTCATTTTCACTCGTTTTCAGGTTTAACTGATTTGAAATAATGGGTGAAGCCAGATGAAGAAAATTTATCCTCAAGCGCCACTACACTTTTTATGGGGACACATAAGAGATAAAGTTTATGGTACAAAAACAGGGATAGTTGATGAATTGAGGGTGCACAAATACCAAACGAAATGATTCTTGATGTTTGCAATTCCATTGCTTGGCGTTATCAGCAGTGCCCAATCCAGAACAATCATTAGTTTGAAAACAGGCACTGACAAAAAAATTCATTTCTGTAGATTCATTTAATTTTGAAAATGAACTGTATGTTAATAAACACTGACTTTATAACCATTCAATGTGTGTACACATTTTTTGGGACACCCTGTTTTTACTGGGCACCTACTCTGTACCATGCTTGGTTGTAGGCAGTATTAAAGTAGTGAAAAAGCTATACTCATGGAGACCATGGAGACAAATTAATAATTTATTTGTTCACTTGCTCATGTGCTATGAACAATATTAATTAGCACATGCTAACAACATGGACAAATGAGGTGAACTGAAGGACAGAAAGAGGAAAATAACATGGACAAAACTTTAATATTAATTTTTTTCCTGGGACTTCTGATAAACCAATATTTTATCAGAATATTTATGTAGGCTCAAAGTAGATTCTAGGATGTGTCACACATATTTTTAAAAATGTATTCAGTGTGGATACCAAACTTGATGAACTACACAGTCCTAGTATCTAAGATATAAAAATTACACAGAAATTCATGCTTATAAAAAGTTGTTTATTTCTGACAACACTTTATTTGGCTGAAACCACAAGAAATCCACAACACAAATACTTAAAGTGCAAATTCTCAGTATTTAACACCCTGGTGTGTTTTTTTTTTTTTTTGGGGGGGGGGGAGAGCGGAAATGGAAAGATATCGACAGAAACTATTAAAACAAGGGCATCATTTTGAACTACTGCTACACAGTCAGAAAAACGATTCATTCTTAACTGCACACATTTTATCCGGCATAGATGTCACAAAGAGTTTATTTTAGTCAATGATGTACACAAAGAGTTTATTTTAGCCCCAAACAAGAGGGCCTCACCATATATAGATATGGACTCAGGAGTGGCTCTTATCAGAATTATGCTGAATCATAACGCTGAACAAAAATATACCAAATTTGTTGTGACTCACTTGGACGGTAGCACTAGCAGGCTCAAAATGGCACTTGTATTAGTGACATTACATACTTTCTTAGCCTTCTTGGCCAATACCTTACTGTGAATATGAAATACTAGGCCTTATGTGCAATTTCCAAATAGGAATATGCTCTGCTTTTTCCCAAAAAAACTGAGTATTTAAGGATGTGTGTGCTTAATAAACATTACTTATAAATTTTAATGGTGAGAATTAATATGTTTATTGTTTATCAAACTATTTGCTTCTTTAAAATAAAATCCCTTAATTACTATTATCACCAATTAAGCACTCTGTAACAGGTATATATTCTAGGTGGTGTGGATACGAAAAGTAATAAATGGAGCTGATAGTCAAGAAAGATCGTAGTCAAGGAATGCCAATAAGTTAAAGAGAACAAAGTGGCCAATACCTCTAATTATATTATAAGGTTCATTGGTAACATAACTGTTCCAGGTCAGTTTCACTTGTCATCAATACTTTCAAAGCTCAGCTACTGAAGGGCAGGAAATATCCGATCTATGTTCTATGTTTATATTTCCCACACCAGAGTCTGTGTGTGTATGCCCAGGCATATGCGGCAATTGGAGGGGCGTTTGGAGGAGAAAACTGAGTGGCCACATGATAAACACGGCGCTCCAATCTTTGGTTTTGGTGACGACTGAAGGGGTCATTTTTATATCAACATAGTTTTATTATGGAGAATGCAAAATCCGCTTACATTTCTGAGACAGAGCATGAATTTCATGGGAGGTAGGCTGCTTCTGATTTTGCTCTCAGACCCCTTCCCCTGCACATTCTGCTTTAGGGTCATGCTGATGGGAAGATCTGAGAGCAAACTTTGCCCTTGGTCGATTTACCCATTTTTGTATGTTCTCTTTTTTAAGTACAGAGTCTTTAATGAATAAAGAGAAAAGATGGCTTAATGAATCTAACAGTATGATGAATATCTTAAGGTAACCAATGGTCAACACTAACTTTGTTTCCAACTAGAACTAAAGTCAGGCTGTGTCCTGAGGCAAGGACACTCTCTTTTTTCTACTTGGACTCCTTATGGTTTATGGTAAGAGGCTTTGAGACATAAATATTTAAAAATAATTTCCTCAAATCTTGTGCTTCGGATACCCAAAATACAAGGAAACTGAAAATAATGACTAGAGTCATTTTGGTTAGTATGACTCTTTCCTCATCATTTTCTAAAGCAATCTCAGAAAACAAGTAAATTATAAAAAGTCATAATAATTTAATGTACAGTAACCAGGTAGACCACAAAAAGTTATGAAATAGCTTTATAATTACTTCTTACAATGTCTTCTCACAATAACAAAATACTCAAAAATAAACTACCAACTTAGTTTATGAATACGTTTAAAGCATTCTGAAAGATACAGTTAAAGATTTCTTATCAGTGAGGTAACAGGGCAGTAGCATTTCACAGTAACAAAATGTGGGAGGAAAGAGGGAGGTAGAGAAAAAAAGACATAAAATTAAATTTATCCAAGCAGAATCATGAACAACAGAAAAGATCTGAAAGAAATACCAATAGCAGCAGCTCATAGAACAATTTCTCCATTAAACTTCAGCTAATACCTTTATTGCATCAATTCCAGAAGCAATCTGCTTAAACAGAAGTTCTATTTCCTTCATAAAGATATCCCAAAGTGTCCAATCTCTTAGAAACTCTCTGCTAAAGTTACTACATCCAAATAACAATACTGTAAACTTAAAACAAACCCCTCAAATACCCTATATAACGCTATAATATTCTTCAAGATGAACAAAATTGTGTTCAAGTCTCACTTAATTTGCCAGATTAAATTAAAAATATCTCAGAAAGTCTTTTTCACTGCACTCATGCATCTACTACTCAACAAATTTATCTTATGAACTAAATTCTTACAGATATGGAGTGAAATTCAAATGTTACTTTCAGTGTTCTTTATGACATCTTTGTTCCAACCTGAGTTAAAAAAAAAAAAAAAAAAAAAAAAGGTTTAACCTGCAAAAACCATTTTGCATGTCCTATAACATTTAAGTTTTTCTCTTAAAAATTAAAATCAAGTCAAAGGCTTCATAATGATTCCTGCCCAAGATTTTAAATCTTACTATTCATGTTGTCTTTTTGTTCTTTTTTCTTAAAGACCCCTATTCCCTCCTATTTTATGCTTCCTGGAGATGGAGGACAGTTTGTTATATTCCTTCCTAATTTAAGTCATACAATAAAAGACTCAATAACTTATGACTCATTAAACTATCTCAGCAGCTTTCTCCTCTCCAGAATTAAATGCTCTTATTATTTTGTTATTTTTTCTCAGAGGTCTTATTTTCCAATCTATATTTTATTCCTTTTCATTTCTGCTATAACCCCTCCCCAGTTCCCATATAATCCTAAGAAACAGCCTCCTCTCAGAAACTGAGTCAGTCAGAGGGGTACTTTTTCTCATGCCTTAAAACATGGCCCCTTTAGTGGTCACCAATAATAGAAAACAAAGGTTCACACCTCATTCATCGTCACAACAAATAAACACAATTAAACAACTTGCCCACAGTCCATTTATCCCCGGTTTTTAGGATGGTAAGTTTGCCCTTGACAAAAAGCATTTCCTGTGCTACCTTATTGACCTTTCTATTGTTTGCTTATTTCTACTGTTTATTCCCAACCTATGCTTTAATCTTGCCCCACTAATTCTTTCCTTTCCCTAGATTTCTAGAAAATCCCAGTTTTGATCTGCACACTCAGTGAGGATGCGTTCATTTCCATGATATTGTTTATAAAGAAAAAGACAAACAATACAGAGACCAAAGTTGAGACCTATTGGTCAGCGCTTCTGTCTGACCTGGTTGGCTGGGACTACTGAGTTTACCCTGTTAGGCAAATGTATGCCCACTATGTCAAGTACATGCTAACTATCACACTCAAACAGACTTGAGAATTTAGTTAGAATCAAATAATTTCCTCAATTTATGCACTTTGGGAACACTTGCAAATTTTCATTAACTTTAACTCTGGATTTTTAAATTTTTGAGTTAAGAATCCAAACGTTAATAACTTTTCACCTTGATTAAGTAAGATGACTTAAATGTTGCATTACATTAAAGCACTAATATAGAACTGTTCTCTCTTTACAACAGAATGACAATCATAACATGGCTTTAGAGATTGTAAATGGGCTAGTCTATCATTTTAGCTCCACTTTGTTCTTCAGTCAATGAAAAACAGACACTGAAACCAAATTGAATAATATAGGCCATTTCCTAAATTAATATCTGCATTCATAAAGCAAAAAATTCTACACACTTCTTCAGTACGAAGCCATTGAAGACAAACTCATTTAGAAACATGGTCCTCTACAGTTAGCTTCTATTATCTACAGTCATACAAGATCCAGCTGTACAAAACTAAGAAAGGAATACATTAACAATAGTGGCAATACAATAGTTTGAAAATTACATTTTGGTTATATAAGTTCAACCAAATGTTAGCCAATAGCTACAACAAACCAAACCATGACTTGGTAAGTATTTTAATCAGTTCAAATTTATGTCATTATTTTTAGGAAATAAATTCCTTAACAACAGTTATCTTCCATAGGCAATTTGTTTAGATGGTTACACCCAAGACCTTGTTATTGTTACTTCTTATCTATACCACCTGTGTAAGTATTCTGTGAGCTACATATAACAGGATCCACTTTTTAAAAGGATTACACAGAGCCTCTCCCCTGTCTCTTTAGAAAACTGCAGAATCAACCAGTGACCTTCCAATTTTTTTTCCACACTAGAAAAGATAAATAGTTATCCTTGTGATAAGAAATTGTATAGAAGCCAGAAAGGTGTTAGGATAAACTGGACGTTAGTTTGAAAATATGTAGTTTTAGTGTTTCATAATACCGAAAATCTGAATGTTTTATTTCCTAGCAAAATTGATATTACTTCATCTAATAAAGGAATAAATCTACTTATAAATATGTAATCCAAATGTTAGACTTTTAAATGAATTCAGAGCTCTTTTCTCAGTTCAGATCTTCTTCTTGGCTCAAAGGCTGTGATAACTAACAATTCTAATATGAAGATGCTTTTAACTACAGTTACATGGAGTCTGCTTGTATTAATCATTTTATGATATATACATTCGTAAGATTTTAAAGTCAGCAAACCTATTTAATATAGAGGGAATGCACCTATATAGTTTGAAAGATTTTCCTGAACTGCCTGAAAATCAATGAATTAAATTATATTCAATGCAGGAACACTGTTTCAATTCAAACCATACCCTGAGAAGGCACTGAGAAATTTGACAAGGACCAAGCTTCTAGGAATATTGCCACTATTGTCTATGTTGGATAAACGTGGGATTTTACATACATACAATAAACTTAACTGCACCAGCAGCACCTGAAACAGAAGAGCTGGACACCACGTTTGTAACATCTGTGCTAAGCTAGGAATGCTTACTACCCTATCCATCTCAAGTAGTCTAATTTGTAAGTCAATACCTATGAAGTATCATGATACTTTTCCACAGTATTCTGAGAGTAGTGCTGTTTTCTTGCCAATTTTATGAAATAAATTTCTTAACTCGATAATTATACAACATTTATCTGCCTATTTAAAAAAAAAAAACACATGCTATACACAATTACAAGAATATGGAACTAAGCTTACTTAATCACACTTTAATAAGAAAACTCACTTTTGCACACTTTGTTTCTGTTCAAGGAAGAATGACAAGTTACAATAATACTTTTAACGAAATGACTTTTGTTCAAGATTATGAAACTATTTGAATCATTTTCTCCAGACTACGTCATATCAAAGTTACATAGTTTGTTTAGTCAGCCAACCAAAGAGAGAAAATAAAAGGACTAGGATACTCAGCCAGATGAGACAGAGAGGGAATGCTAACACAAGTTCGACGCCTGAAGCTCCTGGCTGCCCTGTGCCATGTGACAGTGCAGGGTAATGATGTACGAACGTCCACTACACAGAACGCCAGATCAGCCCATTTTTGCTGGGCTCCAGAAAATTCTCTATCAAAGCGTCAATGAGTTTCTTCAGTTCCTCTTCTAGTAAGGCAGTGTCACTGAGGAAAAAAACGAAGAGTTTGAATTTCATGAATTTCACAGCCTTAACATTTTAATTGTTATAACAATCTAAGAAGGCATATGCCTGATGGAATGATTAAGCAATTGGTAAAGAAAAGAGAAATTTACTCATTTAAACTAAAACAAGACCAAGGGGGGCGGAACGGGAATCACACCCAAGAAATATCACAAAGGTTAAACTGCATTAAGAGGAGACCCTTGGGACATGGGACATGGATGAGTTATAACATACCTCCTAGGCGAGGCAACTTAACGGCTTAGAACACCAAGACTAAGTATTAAGAGAAATAACTTCCTGAAACACTCTGAAGAATAACCTGTTCAAACACTATGGGATGCTACGGCACTGTCTTTCCGGCAGCAGCAGGAGGTGTTGCTATGAGAATGAGACGTCTGAAAACTAAATGGACATTTATAAGTATATCCCTCAAAGTCATCACCTGAAGAGCTGTTCCCAGAAAAGCCTCTTGTAAACTGCCTTCAGTTATTTTACCCACTACTCCACAAGCCAGTTTTTGTTATTTTAATAATCATCCTTCATTTTTATACACCTTTTTAAAAAATATATTTTATTGACTTCAGAGAGAAGGGAGAGAGAAACAGAAACATTAACAATGAGAGAGAATCATTGATCAGCTGCCTCCTGCACACCCCCCCACTGGGGATGTGCCCGCAACCAAGGCACATCCCCTTGACCAGAATCGAACCTGGGACCCTTCAGTCCTCAGGCCGACGCTCTATCCACTGAGCCAAACTGGTCCCAGCAACATCCTTCATTTTTATAAAAATGTAGCATTACTCAATTTGGTTTACATTACTCAATTTGGTTTACTTTAAACTCTGCTCTCTCCACCACCACTCCACACCCTCACCACCAAAGGAAACACAAAGATTTAGGGAAATACTAAATAATGTACCTTGGAGTCAGTTCCAAAAAAATCTTCCCAAAAATATATTGATCTATGTCAACACTATAGAAGGTACTACTTTTAATAAGTTTAAATAGCCTTCGAATATGTTTATTAAAGTTATTTATTCAAACACTCTTAAAAGAAAATAAATTGGGCAGGTTAAATAAAATCATATTAGATGCAACAAATGAATATTTGGCAATAAACGAAATATTTGTTGATCTTTTTTTATATTTACTATTAAAGCTCAGAGAGCCTATCTAGGAATATAAATTCACCAAAATTTAAAAATTCAATTCCCAAATGGTATTGCTGCTTTGAAAAATTGTCCAGAAGATTCTCAAAAGATTAAAGATATAATTAGCAAATGACCCAGCAATTCTACATACCTACATACCCAAGAGAAATGAAAACCTATGCTCACATAAAAACCTGTATGTAAGTATTTGTAGCATCATTATTCATAATAGTCCAAACATCTATCATCTGATAAATAGGTTAAAAAATGTGATCCAGCCAAAAACAGTTTGGCTCAATGGATAAAGCGTCGGCCTGCGGACTCAAGGGTCCTGGGTTCGATTCCAGTCAAGGGCATGTACTTGGGTTGCGGGCACATCCCCAGTGGGGAGTGTGCAGGAGGCAGCTGATCCATGTTTATCTCTCATCGATGTTTCTAACTGTCTATCCCTCTCCCTTCCTCTCTGTAAAAAATCAATAAAATATATATTTTTTAAAAATGTGATCCATACAATGAACTATTATTGAACCATGAAGACAAACAAAAAGAAAGTACTGATTCATGTTACAACATAGATTATGCTTAAAAACATTATGCTAAAAAAAAAAAACAAAAACCCCACCACAATGATATATAACCTCAAAAAAACCACAAAAAAACACATTATGCTGCCTGACGGATATTGCTCAGTGATTGAGCATTGACCTATGAACCAGGAGGTCACTGTTTGATTCCTAGTCAGGGCATAAGCTAGGTTTGAGGGCTCAATCCCCAGTGTTGGGTGTGCAAGAGGCAGCTGATCAATAATTCTTTCCCATCATTGATGTTTCTATCTCTATCTCCTTCTCCCTTCCTCTCTGAAATGATAAAAAACAACAACACCCAAAACTTAAACCATCATGCTAAGTAACAGATGCCAGTCACAAAGAACCACACATTGTATAATCCCATGTCTATAAAATGTTCAGAATAAGTAGCAAATCCCTGATGGGAAATAGTGGATTGGTGGTTGCTTAGGGCTGGGGGACAGGGGAATGGGAAGTGACTGCTAATGGGTCTGGGGCTTCCCTCTGAGGTGATGAAAATGGCCTAAAATTTATTGTAGTGATGGTGGCACAACTCTGGATACACAAATGCTGAATGATATACTTTAGTGGGCGAACTCTTTGATATGAGAATTACATCTCGATAAGGCTTTTACGTATATATTTAAAAAGTCAATTCTCACCTCTGGTCAGGTGATGCGCACATCTCTGCATAATACTTTATCTTTGGTTCTGTCCCACTGGTCCGAAGCGTAGCAACACAACCATTTTGAAAAGTGAATGTGATCATCTGGCTGTTTTTACTCACAGGCAACACCTATGCACAATTGTAACAGCAGCTTAATTGCACTTGCTTTGTGGGTATAGAGTTTCAGGTTAGCAAGATGAAAAAGTTCTGGAGATCTATACAACAATGTGAGAGTAGTTAACAATGCTGAACTGTATGGCTTAAAAATGGCTAAGTTGATAAAGTTTATGTTTTAATTGTTTGCCACAATTAAAAATAAAAATTTTTAAAGAATTTTAAAATACAAAAAATATTACATACATAATTTACAAATATACCACTTGCTGAACATTTACAATACAGTCATTGGGTTATACACCTTTCCTTACATACATGGTCTCTGGACCCCAACAATAACCCCGCAAACCAAGCGTGACTGCCAACTTACGGGCAAGCCTCAGGGTAAACGACCGCTCAAGGTCACCAGCTAAGAGCAAGAAGGTGAAGCCAGATCTACCTGTATCAAAGTCCAAACTGCCTCTACATTTGCAAAGTTTATTAATTCACCAAAGCAGAGTACACATATCCTGGAGGACAGGCAAAACAATTCACTGGGGTTCAAAAATTAATATTTTTACTTCAAAATTAAAAAAGCAAAAATAACTAAAGCTTTACTGACAGTAAATATACAGGTTAACACTGTTCCTCTTCCTACACCACAGACTGGTCTGTGAAGGCATCTTAAAGGAGCTGTGGGGGTTGACAGTGGGACCGCTACTTTAAAGGTAGTTAAGAGGAAAAAAAGCAAAAGACAAGAACTACGATAAGCATAGCAACAATAGAAAAATAAAAAGAGGCACAAAAAAAAATTGGTTCTTTAAGTAATTTACAAAGACACAAAAATAGATACACACAGATGTGCATATGCACCCAATGCCAATGACTGGGGACCAATATTTGCTGACTGAATGTATACACACAGAGAGAATATGGGTAGGAGAAGAGGCTACAGATTTCCCCAAATATATCAGGCCCCCAGAATCTTGAGTCAACATCACAACACTATAAATGAAAATTTAGGCTAACAACAACAACAGTAACTAAAGATGATCATCAATTATTTGTTGGGCACCTACCATGTAGGCAGGACATTGAGAGGCATAAAGGGACATCAGCAATGGATCTGCCACATACAATACGGCTAACATAAAGCAGAGAGTGATGAATGACAAGAGGAAGGCACAATATGCAATGAAACCTCAGGAGAAAGATATCTGCTTATGGGACTGGGAGGGGACTGTGAGGAGGTGACATTTGCCTTAAGTCTTGAATATGGCTAAGGAGTAGACCTGAACAGTAGGAAGAAAAGGTAGAAGGAAGAACTAGCTTGAGCAAAAATAGTTACATTTTTTAAAAGAAGAATATATGCAAGGAACTATAAATTGTTCTATTTGGCTGGAGGTATATGGAATAAAGTTGAAAAGAGGAGATTACAACTAGAAAGATGGGTAGCTTTGAAATTATAGGCTTTTGGATTTCATTTTCAACATTATTTATTTAGCATCATCACACAGTCTCCCTCTTCCTCCCTCCCTTTCTCTCTGCCTTTCTCCTTCTTGTTCTCACCTCTCCAGGCCCAGAGGATAGCCTACACTTGGGGATTGATAATACAGGATCAGAGTCAGAGAGCCAGTTAGTGGACTTAGAACAGCTCTGCGGCAAAGCAATGAATCCTAGTTTCAGGAAACTAATTGGCTTGAACTTCCTCTCTTTTGCCCTAGGATGAAGTTAAAAACTGTTTTCTCTCTCTCTCTCTCTGTGTGTGTGTGTGTGTGTGTGTGTGTGTGTGTGTGTGTGTGTGTAGAGGTACTTACTGATTTCTTATTAGGCTGGCTGCTGTCATATCCAGTGGTAACGTCTCGAGTATGCAATATAGCAAATGTCCCACAAAATTTTGGATATTCTTTTGGAGAATCAAAATTGCGAAGCCTTTCAAATATACGTTTGATGGTATTTGGATCATAACACAAGAAATATGAAGTTTTTGAAATATGATAACCATACCTGCACACAAAGATTTAAAGTGTTAAAATCAGCTTTCAGGTAACTCTTTAGAAAAGTATATATTAAAGATAACCTAATTATAGTATTATGTAGAAAGTGGCAGCCCTTAACTCAGACAATTTTAGTCCTTTTAAAAAAGGATTGACTATCGATATTTCTCGAAAACAAGTTTAGCTGGAAGTAGGACAAAGAAAAATTTAGCACATGCAATTCATAATAGTAGGACTTACTTTTCATAAACCTTAACCAGTTGCTGTTTCAATGTTAAATTCGTGGTTTCCAGGTAAGCTGCCATCTCAGCAACAACAGCGGCTGCACTCACTCCATCTTTATCCAAAACTGAAGTTCCACATAGAAAACCTGAGAATTAAAAAAAAAAAATCTTTAAATTAAGCCTGTAATAAGTTCATTAATTTTATATTTCTTCAAGAGGACCAATGAATTTTAATAAATGAAGCACATTGATACGGAAGTTATTTAGGGGACCTTTTTTTTTTTTTCTGATGAGAAATGTACCTACACATTTCTGAATGCTCTTTGGTTTTTATCACAATTCAGAATACAAAACTAGAAGACAAAAATTCCTCTCTAGCCAATCACTACTTTAAAAAAAAGATACCCTCATTCAAATGTCAAAGGTTTTAATATTCACTACATACCAATGGACTCTTCAAATGCAAAAAGGACTTCTTTCCCACTTTCCAGGAGGTCTTTTATCCTACTTCCAATCCATTTAAAACCTGGCAATGTTTCCTGAAATGCAGAGGAGGCCACTCTTGTTAAGTGACGCTCTCATAACACATATTAGAGAAAAGCAGGTCTTAAATGCACTACATAACACTCACAGAGATTGTCTGTTAGGGCTTTTGGCCCACATCGATGTACATGGTGATAAACATGAAGTTATAAAGTGCATGGACACATGCACTGCCCCAACTGGTGACCTACTATTTATCAAAATAGGTGATTTACACCAAATATAATCCAATATTTACAAGTGGTGACAAAGTAACGTATTATGACCATCTATTATTAACAAGTGCTTTCCATCACTCTTTTTAAGGCTCACAAAAACCCTGTTGCTGAAACAGGCTCAGAAGTCGAGTAAATTTGCCCAACATTATGCTGCCTATAAGAGATGGAGGCAGGATTCGATTGCACTGCTTCTCAGAAACTGTCCTGTCTGTAAGCTGTATTATAAGCACTAGAGGAAGAGTACTTACGAGGTTGTGATTTATTCCCCTGGAGTAATAGAAGGCCATAAAGCTTTTTAAGGATGCACCTTCAATATTATCACAACATATGCCTGAGCCAAGTGTTCTTTGCCATAACACCAAGTCCTTCTTTGGTAATTAGATTTGAGGACTTTTCATCTGATGAGCTATTGTTCCCTTCATAGACATGAACTGTTTTAGAGTCAACAGAAAGAGCATGTGATATACAGCGACTCGAGAGCTCAGTATCACCAACTTAAGATTCCTCCTTCACCTCTCTACCGCCTCCCTGGAAAATACCATAGCGTAATGTAAAAGCCAAAATCATCTGCCCCCCTATTCCCAACAACAAAAACAAGGAAGTGCATTTATGATATTGGTCTTTAGAATCATTTCCCCCCCTCTTTTGTGCTCATTATGCATTTTTCTTGCCATAAATGATAAAAATGTTAACCTTACTTGTAATTCAGAATCTTAGGCTTACATAAAATTTCACTTTCTTCTATTTGGCTATTTGTATTTTAGAAAGCCTGAGTTTGAAAGCTCTAATTTATTAAGACAAGTACAATTTTCTTTTGATCTGTAGCTTGACTGCCGCTCAAGAAAGATGCACAGAGGGGACATTTTCACTGACACTGGGCAAAGATGGCAGAGGAAGAGCAACTTCATTGACCTCAGCCCCAGTGGCAGTCAGCTCAGTCAGGTTAACTGCCTGAGGCTCACAGAGGTTCGTGATCTGTGTTGGGAGAGAGGCATCATTCTTTTTTGGATGTAGAATCTCTGGGTCTTAATTTGCAATTTCGAAGACTACTTAAAGTTTCTTAAGACTGAACTTGAAGAGCCTACATAAGTGGTTCCGGACACCTACAATTTTTTGGAATGGAGTTTATGTTATTGATGAAGTCAGGAGCCAGATTTTTCTCCATATGAAAACCAGATATTACTGTATGGAACAATAGGCATTAATGCAATTTTTAAAGAACACCTAATCGGTGTTTCAGAAATTCACACACTAGATGAATTTGGCTCAAGAGTCTAAGCTATTAAAGATTTAATGTTAACAAAATTAGAGAAGAAGTGGGAATCATAAATGAAATTGATAAGTCAGTTTTTGCGGGGAGATGGCTTTAATGTATAGAAACAGGTTTAGAAAAGTGGCACACAGATATTATCTATTCTTACTTCAAAGTGAAATCCTTCTTTAAGTGCAATTGCCTTCAAAATTTTGGAAGAGACTGTGGTGGCTAACATATAAATGTTCTTCACATCAGCATTTCCTGATTTACTTTTCTTCCAGCAATCAAACATCCACCACCCAAACAGAGCTGCCAACTCATTTCCTGAGAAAACTTTCCAGTGACCACTGCAGAGAGGAAAAAAACTCATCAGGAACTTTATAACTTCTCATTAAAGCTTCTCGACCCCCAAAACCTACAAATCACCAATTCAAACACTATGGAATGGACTCTTTGAGAAAACATTTACGACTACTTTTCTAACTGACCAGGGGTGAACTTAAGAGTAGAAATGGTAGCAATGTCTTTTGAAAAATTGTTACTTTTAATATCCTATTTAATTGGAAGAAAGTTAATATAGTGTCCTTTCTACATCAAGACAGTTGTCACAACATTATAATAGCAAAAATACATAGCAACTTAAAGGACCAAGATTAGGAAATGATCACATTGATAAGCAATCTGTCGTGACATTATGCCATTTTAAAGTTTAATATTTTAAACAATAATTAAGGATAGGGGAAAATGCTCACAGTATGATATTAAATAGAAAATAATCTACATAAATATACATGGTGGGGTAAAAGTAGGTTTACAGTTGTTCATATGGAAAGTAATACAATCACTAATAAATAATACAAGAATAACCTGTTTTTCGTTCTCTCAACTATAAATCTGCTTTTGGCCCATCCTATACAGTATGGTCACAATTTTGTAAAATCAAATATATCTTAAATATTTGAGTAGAAAAAAATGCAGAAAGAAAATGTGAAAATATCAACCTCGGTGGTTATTTCTAGATCATGGGCTTACAGGAGATGTATTTTCTTATTTTAAAAATTAAGTCAAACAAGACTATTTGACTAAAATAAAATAAAAATTTCATCAAAATTTAAGCTTTTAATCAAATAACAGGTTCTACTGACTTTTCCTGAAGCTCTGCCACCGCCAGCCGGTCTGCGTCAGGGTCTGTGGCGACCACTACCCGGGCATCTTCTTTCTCTGCCAGCCTCAACGAGAGTTCCTGCAACAGTGACCCAAAAGGCTGGACTGTATCAAAGACATTCAACTCAACGTTAATATCCCTAAATGTAGGCACTATGCCAGTGATAGGAATTTTAGAAGGAATACAGTTCAGCTAAATTTAAAATAAGCCTGGAAGTAGGGATATCTACCATAGGGATCTCAAACAAAACAGAATATATGGCTCCCATATAATTTAAAAGATGTAAACTAAAGTGGTTTCTGCTTTTGAAAGTAATCTTTGAATTGTCAATGAGTTCTATTTGATTAAGTTTAATACACTAATAATAATTTAAAAATAAAAGAAAGATACCAGCACGGATTCCCCCTCTTCAGGATTTGGACATTTAACAGTAGAAAAGTCTGGGTCAGGATCTTTTTGTTCTGGCACTGGAATCGGAGGCTTAAAACCAAACACTTGAAAAGCCTTCTGCACATAGTCATGTCCAACCCCATGAAAAGATGAATGTACAAATTTCAAGGTGGTCTTTGAGTTTAATTCCCTATAAAGAAAAATCATCAATCAATCTAAAGCTCATTACTTAAGACAAGCTATACAGACAGCTAAAATCTGTTTTGTAGAATAGGGAAAATCTACTCAGCAAGCCAGGATGCTTTCTAGCAATGTGTTAGCTATTTATGAAATAGTTATGGAAATAGACAAGGAAAAATAAATTTTTAGAGAAAATTCCCTAATTTTATACAGAGAGAATACATATATTTAGCTAAACTTTTTAAATGACTTTACTGGAGAGTTAATTAATATACAATGCTTCCATTTAATGTGTACAATTCAATGGCTTTCACTATATTCAGTTTTTTCAACCATTATCATAATCAATTTTAGAACATTCTCATTACCCTCAAAAGAAGCTGCATACCCCACAGCTGCCATATTCTAACCCTCCCATTCCTCCCAGCCATAGGTAACCACTAATGTATTTTCTGTCTGTTTCTGTCTCAATAGATTGAGATTTGCCTACTCTAGACATTTCATATACATGGAATCATATAATACTTGATCCTTGGTGACTGGCTTCTTTCACTTAGGATAATGTTTTCAAGGTATATCTATGCTGCATTTTGCATCAGTATTTCATTTCCTTTTATTGCTGGATAATATTTCATTGTTTGGATATATATCATATTTTATTTGTCTCTTCATCAGTTGATGGATATTTAGGTCATTTTCACTTTTTTGAATATACTGTTTAGCTATAATTTTAAATATAATATGCAGCCAACACATTTTTATAGGTATTTATTTCCCTTATCTGTTAATCCTATAGTCCCACTTGGGTACCTGTGAAAACAGATCTTTTTCAGGTCTTCCATGTATTTACTACAAATGTCCTGCAGAGGGTCTTTCTTCAGTGGGCTGGTGTCCACTAAATTATCATTCCAGGAACCATTCCAGGGTTCCACACATTCTTCTATACATTTCAGAATTTCCTTGTCATGAGGAGATGTGATCTGAGCACCTGTTTCCCAATAAACCTAGATAACAGATAAATACTCTTATAGTACTTGAAATATTGGCCAGATATTTTCTTAGCTAGAGATAGTTGACTTTATAAAGAAGCACACCAAATTAATTAAGTATAAAATGTCAACATGGGACTAGATTAATAAATGCCAAAATACATTGATGGTATATTGAGGTCAAAAAGTTTCTGAATCACAGAGGTAGGTTTCAAACCCAAACCATACTCTTAACTGCTATTCTATACTGACTATATAAAGTTATTTGCACATATGAAGAAAGATTATATGTTGAAGAACATTCATTGTAACACTGCTTATAAGTAGATCAGAAACAAATGAAATATTCACCAACAGAGGACCAATCAAATAAATTAGGATTCATCTATATAGATTTTTAAAGATCAATGAGGCAGATCTATCTATCTATCTATCTATCTATCTATCTATCTATCTATCTATCATCAATGGCTCGATACAGAGAATTATCTCTAAGTCTGTTTCATACTGTTGTGTGAAAAAAGTAAGGGAATGACAAATGCATAGACTATCTCTGGAAGGAAACTAAAATTGGAAACAGTATTTGCTTCTGAAAGGGATACTGGGGAAAGGGTTAGGAGTGATAATATTTATTATTTAACTTTTTAGGCTGTTTAACTTCTGCATTTTTTACCTTGTACTTATATTTTAAGAAAAAGAAATTTTTGAGGGTTTACTATGTGACAAATGTGTCCAACAACAATGAATATCAAAACAGACTAAATACTTCCACCCACCCATAAGTTTATTATATTGGGAATGGCGGGGGTGGGGTGGGGGGTGGGTGGGAGGGGTGTCAAACAACCATGTCAACAAACAGATAATTTATTATAAAGAAAGTAGGGCCTTGGCTGGTTTGTCTTAGTGGATAGAGCATTGGCCTTTGGACTGAAGGGTCCCGGGTTCGATTCTGGTCAAGGGCACATGCCCTGGTTGTGGGCTCAGTCCCCAGTGGGGTGTATGTGGGAGGCAGCCAATCAATGATCTCTCTCCCCCTCTCACTTCCTCTCTGAAATCAATTAAAAAAAGAAAAAAAAAAAGAAAAAGCAGATAATGAGAGATAGTGATAAGTTCTGTGAAGGAAATAAACAAGATAGATCAGGTCACTGAGGGAAGCTCCGTGAGATAAGGCGACCCTGGAAGGTCTTCAAGGAAGAAACTTCTGGGCAGGAAGCTGAAGGATGAAAACAAGCAGAGATTTAGAGAAGAGCAATCCAAGCAGAGAAAAACAACAATTACAAAGCCTCAGAGGCACGAAAGGGCTGGGTAAGCTGGAGGCACAGGAGGAACAGAGAAGAGACAGTGTGGCTGGAAAGCAGTGAGCACAGGAGAGGAATGAATGAAACGAGGTTGAAGAGGTAGGCAGAGACAGAGTCCTGTAAGCCCCAATGTAAGGAGTTTGGATTTTAATTGAAGAACGAGAAGTCACTGAAAATGTTAAGGAAGAAAGTAACATGACATGTTTATATTTAAAAGATCACCTGGCCACTTGGTGGAGCATGGACTGCAGGGGGAACAATGGAAGGAGGGAAGAGACCAGCTTGGATGCTGTAGTTCAGACAGAAGACAAGAATGCTTTGGAATGGTGAACGTAGAAGATATGGACCGAAGTAAACATATTCAACATATACTGTAGATGTAGACTGTGTAGAACCTGTTACTGGATTAAATGTCAGCAGTGAAGGAGTAGTGTTATCAATTTTCAGAGATGGGAAGACTGAGAGGAACACAGTTAGGTGTGTATGTGGCAGGCTGTGGGGGGAATCAAGAGCTCTGTTCTGGAGACACCGTGGTAAATTTGAGATGTCTGCTTGACATCCCAGTGGATATCAAATAGGCAGCTGGATATGGGAGTCTGATACTCAGAGAAGATCTGGGTTATTAGCTCTCTTGACAGTTGACCTTTCTTTTTCTCCTTGCAACTCTCTCATTCCTTTTGTTTTTGTGACACCAAAATTTTCTGGCTTTTCTCCTACCTCCAGCAATTCTTTCTCCCTTCCCTTAAAGCTGATATTCTGTACAGATCCCCTCAGGACCTGCTTTTCTGCCATATATTGTCTCTGGGGTGCTCATTCCAGAGACAATATATGGTTGAACATTTAAGGTAAAGAACTTCCAAATATACTTAAATACTCTAATATTTATACTCTAATAATATACTCTAATATAAATACTCTAATATGTATGGTGACCCCCCAAATCCACATCTTCAGTTCAGATTTCTCCCCTGAGCAACAGATCTTTATATCTAACTGCATATAGGACGTTGCTTGTTACCTGGCTGACCAAATATCTCAAACTTAATATATCCAAAACAGAATTAATCTTGCTTCTGTGACTGGTAGTACTACCCACTTAGCTGGGTAGTATTAGTATTAAATTTTATTTTCCCCAGGGTACGTGAAGACCTTCCACACACGAAGAAAAGCAAGTATAAGATCATGGAGTCATCACCCTGAGGCCCCAAACACTGGCTCCATATTGTGCTGTGTGTTTTCTGTTTGTCCTTCTTCGCCCTTCTCCACCCTACTTCCTGTCCCAGAGGCTGACACATCGAGTGGATCCTGAGGCCAATGGGGAGCCCTGGTAGAAGGTCAGAGGGAGAGGACAGTGATGTCCAAGTACTATTACTCTCGCTGTCTTCCTGAAAACTCCAATTCATTTAGATACAATATGATCATGTTTCTGAAATGGAAGACAGGATGGGTTCGGAACAGAATGGGGAAATTGAGGACAGTAAGATGGAGGTAATGAGACCGATGAGGAGACTTTTGTTATAATAGTACATGTTGAGAAGTAGCAAGGGCCAGTAGGAATACACATTCTTTGAGGGTTGGCCTCGATGTTTTTATCTCCCTGCCCCAATGTCTAGTTCTGCTCCCCAGTGTAGAAAATAAACCCATCATGTATTATTTAAATAAGAAAGGAGATATGTAAATAAGCAAAGAATAGGAGCCCGAGGTATACCTTGTATCCGTTATCTTCTTTGCGGTTGTGAGATGCTGTAATCATCACACCTGCAACTGCTTTGAGCTTCTGGACTGCATATGGCTAGAAAAAAAACAGCAACAGCATAATTTCCTGGCTACTCATACACGTGACATTAGAATACCTTTGACTAAATAACAGGAAAAGACATCGAGATATAAATAGCCTACAACCTCCACCATCATTGGGTGGGGCCCATTTCTAAAAGGTCAACAATAATCACCTGTTAGGCTGAGTGGCTTTCCCCCCTAGTCTCTTTTAACTTAGCCATATATATATATACACTTTATTTTTTTATTTTTTTTATTTTTTATTTTTTTTATTTTGTTCATTTAACAAATATTTAATGAGCATCTACTATATGCCAGACACTCCACTAGACTCTGGAGATAGGAGTGATGAATATAACCATAAAATGTTAGAACTGGAAGTAAATTTAGAAATCACCTAACCCAAAATAATTTTACACTGAGGTTTATCCAACATTATACAATCATAAGGGAGAAGATTCAAGGGTAGAATATAGATCTCTTGCCTTTCAATTTGAAAATCTGGGGGGGAAAATGGAAATCTGTATATATACTTTGTAGCCTCTATATCATTTAAAGGTCAACTCAGCATCTATGTTGTCAAAGTTAATTCCTAGCAGTTGGGTTTCACTTTTTTTTTTTTTTTTTTTTTTTTGTAGGATGTTCCCTCTACTTCTCTACCGTTACATCCAACTTCTCTCCTCCTGGCCACGAAGGAATGGACACATGGTCCAGTACTGACCAGAGTAACTTACCCCCTGATTTAATTCAGAAAGTGGTTTACAATGCAAGCCTCTCTGCTGAAGGTAGACAAGAAGGACTGCCTTTTAACTCAAGGATATGCTGATGAAGGCTGTGAATCTGGGACTGCTAAACATACCAGCTGAGCAAATCCACCTTCAGTAAGAGAGGAAGACCACACTGGGATTGAGAGAGTTGGGACTGGCAACCCAGTGGCAGAATCCTATAAAAATGTCCTAAATTTCTGGATCCTTCCTGGTTTCTGTAAATCATTAACACTAATTATTTAACAACTCCTTCAATTCTTTGAGCCACTCAGTATATTTCCAGTAAATCACTAGTTACCATTTATAGAGACATTATCTTTTCTTCAAACATTTGGTAAAACTTGACCTATAAAATCACCTGGAGTTGGCATATTTAATTTGAAATTTTTTTAAAATTATATCAGTTTAATTCCTTAGTGGTTAGACACTTATTCAGGTTTTCTATTTCTTTGTATTTATTTATTTGTTAATCCTCACCTGAGGATCAAACATACTAACAGTGTGTTCAAAGCTATCCTGAATTGTTTTTGCCTGTCTAATAAATCAATTTCTGAAAGAATAGTATTAAAATATTTCACCATGACTCTAGATTTGTCAGTTTGTTACAGATCAAATTCTTACTTGGTTTAGCACATGCTTGTTGAATGAAAATAAATTCAGAGCAACACTCTTTTCCTTAGGTTCTTCTTTTGGCACTTCATGTCATTTAACAGAGAACTATATGCAGGACAAATAATTGAATTCTGGTTGACTTAAGAAGTCTTTTCCAGAGCAGCAAACTGTAAGATTAATAACAACACACTTACTACAAAAGGTGTAGGAACGTATCTTGAAAAAAGGTACACAGGAACATCTTTTGCCAGTAAGACTGCAGCAGTAAGTTTAGCAAGCCTAAAAAAAAAGAGAAAAAATATTCACTTAGTCTTACATACTTTTTAGAAACCTGACTTCCATAATAAATATTTCCTATTATAATTATTCTGGATAGCATCCTAATATAACCAATTCTTATAAACACTGGTTATTTAAGCTTCATGCTCTAACTTAAAAAGGTTAAATAAATGAGTTTTTTTAAGGAGCTTAACAATAAAGAGAATTGACATTTTAATTTCTTTTTTTCTCATTTATCTTTTGAAGGCTCTTTTACTCAGAAATAAAACCTAAAAAATGCAAAAATAACAGTAAAAAGTGCAACAAGAGACTCATAAACACAATATGCATATGTCATGATAATCTATGTGTAAAAATACCCTAAAACTATTAAAATGGGACTACAATGAGAATATATAAGCTACATCATTATTCCTACCCAGTGCCTTGTTCAAAACAGAAAATCATAAAATAAGCATGATGCTGTTCTAAATACTAACTCTAAATATTTTTAAATGTTGCTCCTTTCTGTAAAAGCTAAAGCTTATCTTTGAAATGCTTCTATTTCAGCTCTAAAATAAATATTAGCATGTGACCACATTTCTTATTGACAGTTTCCTAGTTCAGATATCTAGTTACTGATGGGAAAAATTGAGGTTTCCCCCCTAATCCACTTTAACCTCTAAGACAACGAACACTGTACCTCTGGCTGCTGCAGCTGCTGGTTACTTGCCCCCGGGTATCATACCCAACGACAAAGCCTCTCTGCTTGAAGTCTGAGAAACATCTCTCCAGGTATTTGTACATCCCCTGAAGCAGATAAACACAAAACATTAGCTCCTGAGCCTGCGTTTTTCTACGATTTAAAAGTCTATTATTTTTATGTGCAGTGTGCAGTTTATGGGCTCCTGGGAAGCTGGCTTCTGCCTTTCTGCCCATGTTTACCAATGTGGAAACAATACCGTTCAATCTTCAAAAGGGAGATGTCAAATATTTATTTCCTGGAGTTTCAGAAACGTTTAATACCACAAAAATATCAAGTAAATATTAAACAAAATACATTACATAAAACACGAAGGGGGAAAATAAGGGATGTGCTAAAAATATTATTAGAAAGGCCAAAAGAAATTGTTTCTTGCCTTAAGGCTGAAGAGAACAAAATTTTGACCATTTTAGGCCTTTCTAAATCACAAGACAAAAGCTAATCAAAAGATTTCACCTATTTATGACACAATCATTTTTAGTCAACAACATAAACCTTCATTAGAACATGTCTTTAAATGGCTTACCCTATTTCTAATTCCTTAGTTTTAAAATTTCACAGAGAAGAAAATCCTAAAAACTAGAGTATCTCCAACAGTCAAGGGTGATGGAAAAATGAAGTATTTAATATTGAAAACATCATGAAAATAGCTAAAACCATTTAACTAGCTTATGAATGATTTGGTAACATTAACACTTTCATTTCTAAAAATAATCCTATATAATAAAAGGGTAATTTGCAAATTGTCCCCTTGATGGCGAGTTTGACTAGAGTTTGACCAGGGGGCAGGGCTGGCTGGCCAACCATCCCGGGGACCCTCCCCCTGGCTGGCCCAGCCTCCAATTGGCTCTGTTTGGGGTGGGCCAGCCAGACCCCATCCATGCACAAATTCCTGCACTGGGCCTCTAGCATTTCATATTGTTACAAGTTCTTTAAAACTACTTTCACAAATGCTGCCACACTCAATCCTTACAACCCTAAAAGGAAAGAAATGCACATAACATTTCTATTTTTGTCTGGAAGCAGAATAAGATTGATGCTCCATTTAATGACTTGCCCAAGGCCATTCATTCAACTAAAACCAAGTTATACTGATTAAAGACCTACCATGTGGAAGGCACTGCTGTAACTATGTGGCAGCACCTAATGAAGCCCCAGTGACTTCTGGACTTTTCTCCCAGGGCTCTTTCAAGAATAATTATTCTGCCCATCATGGCTCACTGGTTGAGCATCGACCTATGAATCAGGAGGTTCAATTCCAGGTCAGGGCACATGCTCAGATCATGGGCTTGATCTCCAGTAGGGGGCACGCAGGAGGCAGCCAATTGATAATTCTTTCTCATCATTGATGTCTCTATATCTTCCTCTCTCTTCCTCTCTTTGAAATCAATTATAACATATATAAACATGAATAATTATTCTTGCCCTGACCAGTGTGGCTCAGCTGGTTGGGCATCACCCCATGCACTGAAAGGCTGCTGATTTGATTCTGGGTCAGGGCACATTACTGAGTTGCGAGCTGGATCCCTGATAGGGGGCATGCAGGAGGCAGCCAATCCATGCTTTGCTCTCACATCAATGTTTCCTCTCTCTCTTTAAAAATCAATTTAAAAATCTTTTAAAAAAAGAATAATTATTCTTCCCAACTTACTTTCTATGTATGTTATGTGTATGTGTGCACATGCACACCCAAATTGGCTAGTTCCACCCACTTATTTATTTCTAATGATTATACTAATCTAAAACCTCACAGAACCTCATATTATTCTATTATTCTTTGGTATGAAAATCCATTTTATTTTATTTCCCTCTAAAAGGGCTAAGGCTGAAGAATCAGATTCCATCTGACTTTTCTATTTCACACTCAACTAGTGTAAAAATTTGCACTTTTATAGAAATTTTTTTTCAAACAGCTCCTCCATCCCATTTTGTTAAGACAAGGAATCTTCATTTAAAATGAAAGCTTACAAGGAAACCCAATATATAAAAAAGATTGAACTGAAGCATCTCTTCAGTTGAGGAGATGGGGTTGGGGGAGGTGGTATATATGTTGTCATCCCTTCATCCCCACCCCCTGCACTAGCCCTTGGCTTTAGAGAATTCCCTCAGAACAAGGCTAAAGATGATCACTGTTTGCCAGGATCAATTAGAATTATGACTACTGAACATTTCTCTAGTCCGGATCTATTTTTAGTATATGCTAAATGCATTTTGGCCTTCAAGCAAGTATAGTTCCTTGAAGCAATGATGATGATTCACTGGAAAGAAAAGTAATTAGTTTCTTTATTTCCAAAAATAAATTGTATAAAATGGGGAGATATAAAATAAATGGCGTTTGTCATACACTATCTTAAAGAACTCTCAAATAGATATGAAGAACCAAGGAAAATATTTTCAACTAAATTTTCCAAATACTCTGATTAACCTGTATCAATGGATATATGCCACAATGGGTAATCTAAATAGGGAATGTCAATATTCATTTGTTAGAAGAGTCAAAAGAAATTGTTTCTTGACTTAAAGCTCTAAAGAAAAGAATTTTGACCATTTTAGGTCTTGCTAAATCACAAGACAAAAGCTAACCAAAAGATTTCACCTATTTATGACAAATGCAAAGTAACACTGTCAAGAAGGTGACAATGACAACTAAAGTAACTCCTACTGAGAAAGTTAGTCTTTGAACTTGAAGATACAGAAATGCCTTCTAACATAAATCAAAGATCAGAATTTATTCTTTTTATTTACTTTCAAGAGAGTATCTTCCTGGATATGAAGGTTTTGAGTTTTTTTTTAGAAAAGCACTACCTAATTTACCCAGTAAAAAACACCACGTGATAAAAAGTGTACAGTCTTACCTGTGTTGATTGTATTACTGTAAGGTCATTGATATAACAAAATCCTGCCCCCATAGCAGAACGAAGCCCTGCAGTCCCAAAAGTCATTCGGCAACAAAGACGATCCCGAAGTTCCTTGTTCATTCCATTTCGTAACAGATTTTCAATTTGCTCTTTTGTTTTGGGATTCTATAAAAAAGAAATGTTAAAACTTAATCAGAATAACAAGCAGAGTCCTAATATGAAGCCTTTCTAAGGAGCCCATAAATGCTATGTATGTATACTCCGACCAGCATGGCTCAATGCTTGAGTTAACCTATGAACCAGGAGGTCATGGTTATTGAGTTGTATAAGTTTCTTACATATTTTGATATCAATCCTTTATCAAATATATAATTTGAAAATATATTCTCCCAGTCAGTAGGTTTCCTTTTTTTGTTGTTGTTGTTGAAGGGTTTCCTTCACTATGAAGAAACTTTTTAGTTTGACGTCCCATTTGTTTTCTTTATTTTGTTTCCCTTACATGAGGGGACGTGTCCACAAAGATATTACTCTGACTGATGTCAGTTAGTTTATTTCCTATGTTTATTGAGTTTTATTGTTTTAGGCCTTAACTTAAAGCAATTCCACTTCTGGGTATTTATCCAAAGAAAATGAGAAGACATTATTCAAAAAGATATATGCACCTCTATGTGCACTGCAGCAAAATCTACAATAGCCAAGTTATGGAAGCAATTTATGTATTTGTTGATAAATTGAGAAAGAAGATGTAGTACATATACACAATGGAATATTACTCAGCAATAAAAAAGAATGAAAATTTGCCATTTGTGACAACATGGAGGGATCTGGAGGGTATTGTGCTAAGTGAAATAAGTTGGCAGAGAAAGAAGTGGAATTGCACAAGCTGGCTTTGATCATCCTAGGGCAGTGGTCAGCAAAATCATTAGTCAACAGAGCCAAATATCAACACGATTGAAATTTCTTTTGAGAGCCAAAATTTTTAAACTTAAACTTCTTCTAAAGCCACTTCTTCAAAATAGACTCCCCCAGGCTGTGATATTTTGTGGAAGAGCCACACTCAAGGGGCCAAAGAGCCACATGTGGCTCTTGAGCCACAGTTTTGCCAACCACAGTTCTCCAGAGAAGGATGCACATATGTGAACTCATAGTAGTAGTACCTATAATAGCTGAAAATGGACATAACCAACTAGTTAAATGGATCTCTGGGGGGATCTTAGCACACACACACTGAATTTACATATAGACCTTGTTTGTTAGATTTCATTTTATGTAACAAATGTTTAACTTTATTAGGCACTTTGCATCTGTTGAAATTTATATATATATATAAAATTTTTCTTTTTTAACCTGTCAAAGATAACCTTGATTGATTTTCTAATATTATACCAACCTTGAATTCTGGTTGTGGTTTGATAAGTTTATTTTTTATTTAAGTGTAGCTGGTATACAATCTTACATTGGTTGTATTAGTTTCAGGTGTATAATATAGTGATTCAACATTTTTATACCTTATAATGTGGTCAAACCACTAATTCTAATACTCATCTGTCACATGTAAACTTATCACAATCTTATTGACTAAAAACCCCTTCCCTTTTTCACCCTCCTCTTCACCCCTCCCTTCTGGTAACCATCCCTTTTGTCTCTGTTTCTGAATCTATTTGTGCAGAACACAAAGGCTATACACACCTTTCCCCATGGCCAACAGCCAATGACTATTTGGTGCAGGGTTATAACTCCATTATGCAATTAATAATCTGGAGGGCCAACAAATTAAGTTGAGATTCAATTTCACCTGAGACGAAATCATTCCCTCACTCCCCTACAGGTTCCTCCTCAGAGTAGTCCTTTTATAAATCATTTCCACAAGAATCCCCAACTTGGCTTCTAGGGAACTGAACCTAAGATATATATATATATATATATATATATATATATATATATATATATATATATATATATATATATGTAAATATACATAGTTGACCTTTGAACAATGAGGGGTTTAGGGCACCCAACCGTGTGCTATCAAAAATTGGCATATAACTTTTTCTTTTTTTAATATATTTTATTGATTTTTTACAGAGAGGAAGAGAGAGGAATAGAGAGTTAGAAACATCGATGAGAGAGAATAATCGATCAGCTGCCTCTTGCACACCCACTACTGGGGATGTGCCTGCAACCAAAGTACATGCCCTTAACCGAAATCGAACCTGGGACCTTCCAGTCCGCAGACTGATGCTCTACCACTGAGCCAAACCGGTTTCGGCGGCATATAACTTTTGACTCCTTAAGAACTACAGTCCATTGGTAACTGTGGGGAATTGGTTCCAGGACTGCTACAGATACCAAAATCTATAAATGCTCAAGTCCCTTATATAAAATGACATAGATCAATGCATGCAGTTGGCCCTCTGCATTTATGAATTTCCAACTGTGGATAAAACACCTGAGATACAAAGGGCTAACTACATATTTATTGAAAAAATATGCACATAAATGGACCTGCATTGTTCAAGTGTCAACTGTATATACTTTTAACTTTTAGCACACAAGAAATAGAAAGGAACTTCCTGAATATGATATTGGCTAGCAGTCCTAGCTAAAGCTGTCAATCAAGAAAAAGAGACAAAAAGTACATGAACTGCAAAAGAAACAAAACACATCATTTACAGATGAAATGGTTCAGCACATAAACAATTTCAAGTGTAAATGATTTTTAGAATAAATGTTAAAATATAGTAGAGCTGTTGGATACCAGTTCAATATATAAAAGTCAATTGCATTTCTCTGTATCAACAAACAGAAAAACCATTTTAAGCCATCTGTTTCCTATATGGCCATGTAAACTCCAACAATATCTGACCTTCCCACAGATAACCACTGTAAACTCTAGACACAGAAACCAAACCAAACCCACAAAGACCTGAAGGTCCTGGAGAGTGGACAAATGTAAATGATTGTAAAAGGGAGCTGACGCTTGGGACAAGGGACCAGCGCAGGGTGAGTTTCCCATTTTTATGGCTTTTAACGGAAAGGCAGCTATTAATCGGAACCATGCACAGTGGCTAAAACACCAGTGAAAATTCTACAGTCCTTGTGGCCTGAAGAACCAGAGCACAGAGTCCAGGGTAACCACAGGGTGTATGTCCAGAGAGTTGGAGGGGGAGAACCCAACATTCTGCACACACTCTGCCCAACTCTCTAGCTGACTCCTGTACTGTGTGTGAGACAGACTTCAGCTAAAGATAAAAGAATAAATCGAGATTTGAGCAGCCTCTCAAGAAACAGTTTGCAGTTAGCGTTCAACCAAGTTAACTACCTGTTAAAGCACACAAAATCAAACACTCAATACTTAAAAGGTGCTTGAATTCTCAGTGCTTTATAAAACAGGTTCTTGTTCCCCCCAAGGGCATGAAAATTACAAAAATAAATACACATTGGTGTGAGTTGTGCTGTAGTACTAAGGTATACTATTAACTCGCTTACTGTTAAGTTTTTCTATATGTAAAAATTCCTTGATATTTGGGGAGAAGATGTTTAAGTCATTTATTTTATGCATGAATCTGATTTTACAGAAATCACAAATAAAACTTATTTTTGTAAAGTATGACATTTCTACTTAGATGAACATCTTAGCCTGTATTTAATGCTATTTTATTGTTGACTTTCACTCTATTAAGGAAATATAGCTTCTAAAAATCTTGTAATAGTGTACTGTTTAGAGATAAGTTAATAGTATCCACATTTTCAAAAGTTATATACTAAGTATTTATATATTACTAGTGGCCCAGTGCATAGATTTGCGTACATTGAAGGAAATTAATTAGAAGAAAGATTCATGTGATAATTACGCTACTGCAAAAATTACACGTCAAAATAGTATATATAGTATAGTATTATATAATTAGAATACAAAATATTTTAATATCATTATTTACTTTTCTATAATAGAAGTGTCAGAGATGAAAGAAAATTAGTAAAATGTATATGAAAATATATAAATTGATTAATAAACAACATGATATAAAAACAACAAAGACATGATATAAAAATAACAAAAACATGATATGAAAACAATGACTGATAAATTAATAAACAAAAACATGATATAACAACAAAGTGCCAATAGTTGGTTTTCAGATACATATGTCGAGTGCAATTGGTGCCAGTGAGAGCTTTATATGTCTGGTGCATGCGTTAGTCAACATTTGTTTTTAAATTGCCTGTGCCAGCCAGGGCCAGTCAGACGGACAGATGGTTGGTCACTTAGCCTTTCATATATATATAAACACACACACACTAGAGGCCTGATGCACGAAGACTCGTGCAAGAATGGGCCTTCTTTCCCCTGGCTGCAGGCACTGCCTTCACTCTGGCCGGAGCCACCTTTCCACCTTCCCTCACCACCCAGAGGCCCAAAGCGGCTGCCTGCATATGCAAATTAACCCACCATCTTTGTTGGGTTAATTTGCATATTCACTCCTGATTGGCTGGTGGGCATCATAAGGTCAATTAGCATGTTACTCTTTTATTAGGTAGATTGATAAGATATATAATACTTTACTTTTGTTTTCAGGCATTGAAATAATTTTGACTGTGATTTTTTTTTTTTAAAGGAGCTGTTTAACTCACAGGGTTATCTTTATTTAGTGAAAAACAAAACAATTTTTTAATCAAACAGGAAATTTAGATAAAGCCCTAAAATTCCTAGATATGCCTTTGTTACTCTGGGGAAAGGAGAAAAGGGAGAGAATGGGGTCAGGAAGTGAATAAGGGAAATTAAACTTAATCTGTAATTTGCTTATTTCTTTAAAAAGCAGATCTGATTCAAATTTAGCAAAATTTTATGATTTAACAAAATGGGAACTGTTTATCATTCTCTGTATTTTTAAAAAGAGAGAAATAAACTTATTAATAAGTTTCATTACTTCTTCCTGGTTTTCTTAAAAGGCTCTATAAGTTCCCTAAGGTAAAACTTTGATATCCACATTTCTAGAAGAGTCTCCAGGCTACCCTCCACAACTCTAATTCATCCTATCCTAATTACATGCTGCAGCCAGATTAATCACCCAAGACCCAACAATAGCATCCAATGCCAGTTATACCAAATGTAAAGGTTAGGAAGGGTGGGACCAGATCCTAAAGGGCAGAAAAATCTAAAC